ACATTAAGTAATTATTACTTAGTATTAGTAATTGCTTAGTATATTAGTATTCAAGAAGAATAAATAAATAAAAATTTAATACTTTCAAAATAATAATAAAATTTATTTTTATAAGCATAATTACACAATATTCAGATTTTAGGAGAAATAAAAATATCGCAAATTGCATAATTCAGATTAGATTCCAAAGGTACATTCGAAATAGTTCCACAAACGCTGATAAATTCATCCATTATTTAAATACAATTATTGATGATGATTTCTTTTCTTATGTAGGTACCGGGATATAGCTAATATTTTAAAATATGTATTTTATCAGTACTCAGTACTTTGAAATTTATCCATACGGATTGATAAAGCTATTCTGAAAATTGAAAATTAACGGTAAAACTTTGAAATGAAATTCTTCAAAAAGCAGAAAACTTACTCAGAAGGAACTATAAATCTGTAGAAAATCTATTTTTGAAGTCTCGATGCAGCGACTAAAAAGTAACAAACTTACAGATATGCTGAGTACCTCTATGAAACTTTCCCGACGAGTATAAAAATAAATGCTTCATAGTTGCTTGAACAAATTCGATAAGCTATGAGCAAAGCTGTTCATCCCTGAAACATAAGAAGATTTCTGAGATCTGTTGGATTTCATGGTACAGTAAGTGCGTAAAAAGCGTTGGCATTTTTTCTTTCAAATAAATTTAAGAAACTACAGTTTGCGATATAAAATATCAAAAAGGATCTAAATCTTTGGATGACAGTGCTTTTTCACTGATGAAAGTAAGTTTTATGTGTACATCTGCGATAGTCGAGATAAGATATGGAAAAAAAAAGAAGGGAAATAAAAATGGTAAACCTGGCATCAATGTCGAAGTCCGTTGTAGGAGAACCCATTCTAATTTGGATTCAGCTAAATGTCAAAATCTGCTGTATAATAATCTGGAGCCACCTATGGGCAAATTAGAACTAAGATGCAATAAAACTGTCCAACAATTTAACTACCCTCAGAGTACTGCTTGGATTTTGAAACAGTGTATATGTCTTTTATTATTTGACAAATTAGTTCCATTCATTTAACCACTTACCTAATGCTGATTGAAAGGTTGTTTATCTGAATGCAACAAAATCAACAATGGCCATCTGAGCCTAATTAAAGATGAAGGGTGTTCCAATAAAAGCGCCGGATTCAGTATGTCCAATAAAATATTGCTTACAAGTAAATTAAGAATGGAAAAAAATGTCTGTCAATCCTCTCTGACATGTTCTACAGCACCATGCTCACTCGATATCATTTTCTCATACATGAACCTACTGAGATGACTAATGGCACATTAAACTTGTTATTTATATTAGTTTTACTCTTTACGCTCGGATTCTTTGGGACGTGCTAATGATGTTACGTACAATAGCGATGTTTACAACAAACCGGCTGGAATAAGAGTAGGATGATTTAATGTCTGCTCTCGAGCCTGTCTCCTCAAATTTCTTTATCAGTCTGCTATTTGTTATTCCATTAAGTACATTTTCATTTCGAAAGACTGCACAAAGGTTTCCAACAGTCGGTGCATAACACTTTACATACTTGTAATGAGTTTTCGTTATCAAAACTCACTATTCCTTTGTGTAGTGCACAAAGTCGACTAAGCTGTAACGACGTAAAGGTATGAACTGAGAGTTATAAAATGCCAGTCTTCTCGGGTCAAATCAAACTCAACATTCTTTAAGCGAAACATCTGTTTTCTCTTGTAATGTAGATGTATTTCCCACCTTCTAAAAGCAAAATCTTTTTGTGAGCATATTAAATCCTGCGGTTTGTTGGAACATCCTTTATATGCAGATCATACCTTTTTACGAACACATAATTAGCAAATAATATATCACTACTTCAGACTGTTCAGTACAAATTAATATGGAATATAAAGTACTCAAAACTGCATGTTGAAAACAAAATTAGGTAGGAAAAAATGTATTAAGAGCTCTCGCTGAAGTTAACATAATGCTGTGTGTTATAAATGCTTTAATCTTGACTAGAACAACATATATATGTATATATATGTTTGTGTGAGTGTTTGTATGTATATATGTATAAGTAATTTTATATTTTAAAATGTAAACAAAAGGCTCAAACCGGAAAAAATGTCCATCCAGTTACATTAATAAAACTAGTACGAGTTCTATAAAATCATATGAAATTGAAGCATAACTTTAATGAATAATCACATACTCATCATAATATGCATAGATATTTTCTATAAAATCCGAAAACAACTAAAATGGAGATTTTCTACAATTAACATATATTATGTTACAATAGAATAATGAAAATAAATTAATCCAGATTTTAAAGCTAGTTAAATTCTGATAATTATTTAATAATATTAAAATTTCCGCAGATCGGTTAAATTTCTCCTTTCAGCCAGTGCTAACAATTAACCGAAGTAAATTTTACTCTGCATATATAGAAAGGCATATTAAAAAATTAACAAATAAGAGATGCTTTGAAAGAAGCCTCGCAAAAGGCGTTAACCCATTGCCTGACGTGATTCCCAGTTAGAGATTTTACTCATTGGAATACCTAGTGAGGTCACGTTTGTTTACAGTGTTATGCACTATATTCAGAAAAGTGCTTACCTGGTATATATTTTTGTAACCGTTGTGGTAGTCATGTACTTTCAGTTACAAAAAGGTTTTAAATGACCCAAAGATTCATTTTATAGCATTTTTCAATTTAAAGAAACAAATTTTGTAAAAATTGCGAAATTTAACATTTGATACGTTTTTTTCGGTCCTTCTACTTATATTTACGAACGTTTTATGCTAATTTTAAAAAATAAAACATAAAACGTGTGACTCCAGTACAACACAAATTAACGGAAACACTTGGTAATAAAGTCGGAGACGATATATAGTGGCCGTTAACAAATTGAAGGGTGAAATGTTTGTGTGTGTTTGTAACAAAAAATAAAATATCAATTTAGAAAAGGTTTGTGATATTAAGTAGCAAATATTTCGATGCAGATTACTGTGGAAGTTATTGATCAATATACTTTTTTCCAAAATGAGGCTCTTATTAACAGTATTTTACAGAGGTTGTGCTGAAGGAAACTCTGGCGGGCTTATTGGCACACGACACAGTTCGTCATATTATTTGAGATAATTAAAAATGAAAAAATATTCATAGTTTTGTGAATATTTTTGTACAATTAGCAGATTATGTTTTGAAAGTAATAAAACTTCATGAGAATATTAATAACGTATTTTTAGACTTTGGAAAATTCTTTCACATAGCGAATGTGGCAAAAATATAAGCTCAAAACATAAAAACAGTACAATGCAAACAAAATACCATTGAATGGCATTTAAGGGGGAAAATGTGTTTCGAATTGATCTAATTTATTTATCAATCAACCCCTCCAAGAAAATAGAATATGGCATCAAAAATTTTGAAATTAAATATTTCGGCTAATTTTTGTCGCTCGGAAGTCAAACTATCTATGTTTTATTTTTTACAACAAGTATGCATTTTTCCTAAATATAAGTATAGGAACTGGAGGAGCGTATAAAAATTTAGATTTCGCAATTTTTATAAAATTAATTAGTACAAGTATGTATCTACTATCAACAGTTGCAAAAGGAAATGACCGGTGAAGGCTTATATGAACACAGTGTATACTGTGCGAAATGTTTGTTTTATTTAATTTCACTCTAAAAGGTTTTAAGGTTTTGCTTGTTTACTTTGAATGTAAAATTGTTAATTCATTTTATACATTTGCGATTTTTTGTATCTTATTAAAAAATACAAAGAATATTTGCCATGTGCAAAATAAAAGTTAGAAATTAATGCTGTAAATGCAACATCGAACTTCAGGTAGAATTTTGTATATTGCTATAAATAATATATATATAAATTTGTATTATATAATATATATATATATATATATATATATCGTATATCACATATGCTATATGCATGCTTGATGATGTAGATTTATAATAAAGTGCAATGACTGTTAACAATCAATAATTTTTTACTGAAACTATCCTAGTTATGTATTTATGACATAAAAAGAACGTGCTTTTGAGACAATTTTTTAATTTAAGAAAAATATTTTACACGGAATTACACCAAAAATTTCCAGAAATCGTGTTTTTCTCAATGCTTAGATGATTAAAATCTGTTCTGTTGTAGAATCAAAAACGTTCTGTGAAAGTACTAGCACTACTCAAAGTATTTTTATTTTTTTATATCCCATATAACTATATGTAAACATTACTAGCATAGTATGACGCTTAAATAATATTTTAGCTGATGAACTATTTAATTTTCGAATTCTTTTTGTTTAACAGGTTTTTCCTTATCAAAGAAGGCATTCATTTTACCAAATAAATGTTTTTGTGTCTTGTTGCTTTCTCGATTTTTAGTATGTTTAATTTGATTTCATATATTTATAATATGAAATTAATTCTTCACAGATTTAGGTTCAAAATTTAAATTTTGCGCTATGCATTTAAAATAATATCATGTACATAACATATATAGTTTTAAAAAGATGGGAAAATATTTTTGTGATATATAGCCATTTCAGCACTCTCGAATATATCTCAGTATCGTGATTTTTAGAAGTTTAATTCTTTTAATATCATTTTGGAATAACATGCCTAACAGTCTATCTCCAACATAGTTAGATACCTAGTTATTTATATACTGTTATCATAAAATCTTTCAAGAATTGCCGGATTAAAATCTTTAAGATTTTATAAGCTGAAACTGCGTCTTTAGATGAAATGTAAATAACGTAAAAAGATAAATGGATAGTGTTCGTCGAACTAAATATTTAAACTAATATTTCACATCTTCTGATATAATTAAACTTTTAACATTAATGATTGTATTAGCGTCATTTCTATAGTAAATTTATATTAAGTTCATTATATAATTGCTTTATTTTCTGACATTAAAATATTTACTCTTTAACTCAAAAAACACTCTCCTCTTAATTTCATAGCAAATGCAACAGCAAGTGACGCAAGGCGGTCAGCAGCAACTATCCCTGCAGATGTCCGCTCAGAAGCAGATGAAATCGAAGCCAATGGACCTCGCTCCTGGCCTCATGAGCCAGCAGCAGCAGCTTCAGCAGCAGCAGAAGCAGCAGCAACAGCAGCAGCAGTTGAAGGGTCAGAAGGGTCAGAAAACGGGAGAGCAGCAGGACTGGTCCCCTGGGACAGACCTCTCCCCCATCATGGACGTTTCCCCGTCGCTGGAAGCTGCGGAGCAAGAACTGATGGAGAAGTGCCAGGAGGCCGACCAGTTAAGACCCATTCCGAGGGCGACCTCTGGTACCATTTCGGGCATGTTGGCTGACTTCAACAAGGCGCTCGGACTGGCCACAACGCCCACGCTGGACGAGGGTCAGCAGCAGCAACGGAGTCTGGTTGTGGCGACGACGACGGCTCCTCAGCAGCAAATGAGCGGCGCGGTTGGCAGCGGCGGAACGGCCCCGACAGCAACGCTATCAGGTTTGTGCCAGTTAATAACAAATATTATTTTATATCAGTTATCTTAAGATTATGTCATAACTATTATTCTAAGAATTTACGTTTAGTGGATCATTAAACTGCAATCCCGTAACTACACTCGAACTCCGCTGTAACGAACCCAGCTTATAACGAATGAACATTCTTTGGTCCCATCCATTTTCCTGTGCACTTAATTATTTTTATACTGTTATAGCGAAAGTCTAAAAGATGTGAAAATCAGATATAATCAACTGTATTAATATCTGCGAATGAAACGTTTTTATATTTTTCGTATTTTTCCGAACAGGACATTCAAGAACAGGGCGAAACAGGTATGACACCCAATTCTAAGAGAACAGTAATATCTTAGGACACAGTTTGGTGTACATGGCAATTGACTAACAAACGTGAATGCGTTCTCAGATTCCATTCCAGTCTCCTTTGATTGAGCTGTCCCACAGAACTCTATTCGAGACTGATGCTATGATGGAAATTTTGAAGTTTATTCAGGGAAAGTGGAACCTTGGGAGCTTGCGGTTTTACAATTGATTCTTCTTTTACGAAAAGATAGATTTTGTTCCTTATCGGTTGGTTTTATTCGAATATATATGCTCTTTAAGTCCCGTCCTTAGAATATGGGTTTTGTATTCTTCAGGTTGTGAGGATTTATTTAAGTTATTTAACAGTTAATTTTATTTTGAAGCAACTTTCCTGTTACCATCGTTTTCAATCCGCGCTTTCTTTCCAGAATGCAAGTGAGAAAGCGCTCGTGTATTCAAATGAGGTATAAAGGAGTTAGTATTTAAGGGAAAGTTCTGGAAGGCGAATTTAGAGTTAGACAGAGAGAGAGCGTGCTCTTCCTACCTGAATGCCACACTGTAATCTTTGATTTACTGTAGATGCCATCTGGGAATATACTGAGTTAATAAAGAGTTCTTTACACCCTTTCTCTAGACTTTGTCACACTTAAGGATAATTCCTTACACAGTCTGTTGACGTGTAAGGTTTATGGCATAGTTAGTTTATTCTCGCTAAGAATACAAGACTTTATAAGGTGTTTTGCAAGACATAAAATATTCTTCAGAAATGTTATTGAATATGACTGATTAAACGTATTGTATCCTTTCTATACATAGGACACGTAGGGCATAAATGATCTTCCTATTTCATATTTTCCAGAACAGCAAACGTCTCACATAACCTTTCGCCCAAAGTCTCTGCACTCTGTTTCTGCATCCAAAGTTCATCCTCATAGCGACCAACAAACGTAAAGTTTCTCCAGTGAAGATAAGCTGGCCATTATTCGAGAAGTCTGAACTTAGTACAGTAAAAACAGTACATTTAATTCAAATCTATAATTTTGTTAACCTATAAAAAATCGAAACTATAATTTCTGCACACGGAAATATTTTTGGATACGAGGAAAGGTTTGAGAAAGGTGGAGCATAGGGATGTTGAAAAAACACTGAATGTTTCACCATTTAAAAAACCCTGCTTACATTTAAATAAATGGTTCAGACAAAGAACTTGTCAGACACTTTGAAGAAACTGGAAAAGAAAAAAATAACAAAATTAAGAAATCGCGTAATAATAATTCCAATTAAATCTTAATATGTTTTTATTTAAATAAGATTTATTTTTCACGTCTTTTCGTAGATAAGACAATGATTAATAACTTTTTTTTTATTCGTTATTTACTTTTTATACGTTTACGTTATGTAGAGAACAGAATTCCCGCTTCCTTTAAGTTCGTTACGGCGGAGTTTGACTGTATAAGTAAATCCAACAATCTAAATTATTTAATCTTCCAATGCAGAGCCACTAGGAGTTTTTAGCCCAAAGGGGCAATTTGCCCAGAATTGTTGCTACCAAATGTTAGAGCCCTGTATATTATTTAAAGAAATTTAATAGATAAAAATATGCATAAATGTATGTATGTTTCTAGCATTGTGATAAAACAACGGTACCTAGAGCCATAAAATTTTGAATAGCGTACGTCTCCACCCGAATATGAGCATTTGGAAGTTCTAACTTGGAATTTGTCTTAATATCTATTTCGTAAAGCATTTATGAGTTTTTGATTAACGACCTCAACGATTCGAAAGCGAGCAATGGCAACACTGGAAGTAGGACCAAGGCGTTTGGTTACGGAGTACCTTCGTAATAACTTCGTAATTACCTCCACATCATCGTTAATAGAAAATTGAGATAATTGAGAAAAGAAGCATTCGCTAAAAGTGAAAGGCAAAGCTATTAAGCTGAAGTCAAAAAGTCACTAAAGAGTCCTCATTGTTAGGACACAGGCAAAGAGTACAAGCAGTTGTCACAATAGAGAAGCTTAAGACTCAGGAGACATGAAAAATGTGCAGTGCCCTCGCCGGGACTGGAACCCTTCAAATGTGCGCGAGTGGACGAGTCAAGTGTGCTTCCAACTACACTACGAAGGCATGTGGAAAGGAGAGAAAAATTCGGTTTTTCATGAGACATCCTTCTCCTGACCAAGAACTATAGTCAGAAGGATAAATTCAGCAACATTCTTCCAAAAACTTTTAATTTTGGTATATATGTAGGCATCGTGTTCAAGCCATAAAGGCAATTTATCACACAACAAGAAGTCCAGAAAAACCCATAAAGGAGACATACAGAAATATACAAACATATATAACATATACAAACATATGGAATTAAAATAAGGCAAATTACCTGTTTTTCTGACCTTTTGAAAAACTGTGAAATTACAAAAAAAAAAAAAAAAAAAAAAAAAAAAAAAAAAAAAAAAAAACGTTGCAAATCCCTTTTGTAACCCATACAAGGATATCTCATAAAAACTTCCTGAATACCATTCACAATATATACTATTAAAGCGCACTTTTTCCTTTCACGATTCATATTTTAATACAGCCCAGTTTTATGAGTTTTCTTTTCGAGCTTCTCAGATAAAGGAAGCTGTTTCTTCATTTCTAAACTTACAGAAAACTTATTCATGACATTGAACAAATGAATTCATTGAAACAAGTTTTCATTAAAAAAAGGTGTATCTTGACTATGATCTGCATGATTTCTTTAACTCACTATCAAATCCGTAGTCAGAGACGCGACCAAATATTTAATAATTACTTACAGCAAACAACTGATCAAACTTGTCCGAACACTATATCTCTGCCGCACACATGAACTGGTTTGTCACTCTCTTACACTCAAGTGGACTATCGTAAGAGGAATAATATAGATATCAAAAACAGCTGAAAAAAAGGATAAAATCCTATATTATTATAAGCGCAATCCTATTTTAGATTGAATACTTTGTACCTCTTCCCAGATTTAGGATTCCCAAATTCTTTGGGCATGCTTATCTAAAATGTCTTCATGAATTTTTGTTTTAGCCAATAACGAATTTCTGTTTACTGCTGCCGGCTATTCAAGAACTTCATAACTTGTCCCAATTAATGTATAAACACTAATCTCACTAATCTACTAATCTCACTTTCGAAACAAAACGGCAATATTAGATGTACGAAGATGCTATTATGTTCCTGTCTCTCTTTTTATAAGATATTCATTGTAAGTGTAAGAGCATTTCGAAAGCAAAAATTCGATGGAAAAGGAGTAATAATATAACTAAAATTATTATTAAAATAGCAAACCGCCTACAAATATTGCATGTACACAATTTTTATATATATGTGTGTTTAAGGCAAAACTATTATTAACAAGATAAATGAGTGAAAATAAAATCCCTTTTGCAACAGTTTGTGAGCTTTAATTACTGCTGAACAAAATAATTACAGTACTATCCTTAAAATAAATGTTTCTAAATGTCGGATAGATTAAATCTGGTCGTTACCTCCTTCAAAGTAAGTTATATGCGAACATGCAGGGAAACTAGAGCTTACTCCATGAATGAAATTATCTGCAGAAGTTTCTTAGTGGAAATGTCCCTACCTCTCTCTCAGAATCGTCCTGAATGTCCTCCATGAAGATTATGTTTCCCGTCATATGAAAGAGTTTGATTTATAGGTACGGTTTTGGCCTCAAAATGAAGTCACACCGAGCTCTTGAGAAGCGAAGAAAAGCTAAGAGGGCAATAAAAACTATGCCGACAGTGTTTCTTTCATAAAAAGGATTGTGCAATTAAAATCCTTTTTCTTTAGATCAGACAGCTAAAACTGCTTTTTAATGCGATACTTTGAGGCAATTGAGGGTAGAATTTATTGCAACCGATATTACTTGTACAAGGAGGGTAAATGGTTGCTTCAGCGCGTCAACACTCCAAAGCTATTCTCAAGCGTTCCATGTGCTTTTGGCCGAAAGGAAATCCATAACAGTTTTTATGCCTTTAATTCGCAAGGTTTGTAGAGACATTAAGTGTTTTAGAAGCAGGCAAGATGAAAAATATGCAACGTCTTCTCTGGGAATCGAACGCGGGCTTCTCAATTACGCGCTGACCACTACACCACGATGACTCCCCAAGTAGGTGGGAAAAATACCTTATAGTTTTACCACCTATTACACCTTCAAAGCTGAAATCCAAAGGCTGGTCATTTTTATTCCATTATTAAATCTTGAAGAATTGCAGAGGACATGAGACACTTTTCAATCAACAGATTTCCAGGATTTTTCCTTCCTTTCAGCCGTGATGTAAGAGGTTTATTTTTTCTGAACTGCAGATAAATTGTCGCCCGTCTTTAAATTAGAATCCAGGAACAGCATTTAAATGCAACAAAAGTGAAATCTAACTGAAAGTCATTACATTATTGGCTTGCATTTAACAAATGAAGCTTAATATAAATCATCTCTTATTGCGGAAAGCTTATAATTCATTAAAGAAAAAAAGTACAAAAGGCAAATGATTAATTAAATGTTGTAACCCCAGGACTGAATGAGCGTCACCTAGCGGCCGCCGAAATAAACACCAGCCAAAAAACAAAGACTACAACAGTCAGTCGATGTGCGGGAGTCATGAACTAAGCATGCTGTTTCTCCGAGATGTTGTTCCCTGAGATTTACTTTGTAACTTAAATGTGTAATTATAAAGCTCTTAATTGTAATGTTTTATCTTTATTGTGTTTTGTTAATTAAAACTATTTAAAAAGGCCTATTGAGTCTTGTTTATGGTAGTTTGGGTTATAATGTCTAGAATTTCGGCTCTTAATTAAACACGATTGCTAACCATAACTGCTCAGTCAGGTGAATTATGATAGTTTAAAACCATTGGCTGAATTGTTAACATAGCTCTTTTCTAGATTATCTTTTCTCTCTCTTTTTAACAATCACTTACTTTGTACTTCTGGTGGAGTTCACATAAAAATGTAGAAGACAAAGTTAGTTAGTAAAATAACTGTTAAATAAAATAAATCTTACAACTTCAAGTAATATTTCGAAATTCTTTTGATCTTGTTTGGTTTTTTTTTTCATTATATATATATATATATATATATAGTATATAATCATATGTAAACATACATGATTATATATTTATGTATGCATCTATATGCCAGTTCTAAATTCTCTTCTGTTCTTTCGTGTATTTAACATATCAACCGAAGTAAGGCAAACCGAGATAGTAACCTTGGTCGAAATATTCATTTTGCTTTCCTAAATTCTATTCGCTGTTATTTATTTTTATGTTTCGTACAATTAGAATACCAAAAGATGTTTCGTACAAAAAACAAAGACTACAGCAGTCAGTCCATGTGCGGGAGTCATGAACATAGTTTTGCTGTGCTCTGTGTATGCTAACCTTAATAGAAAACTGGCCACAAATTGAGTAATATCCAGTTAATGGCAGAAAAACTATCATTCATTGTAGTAGATTATGCACTTTACTTTCATTAAATTTTCTAAATTCGCCTACAAGAACATATCATTCCGCTTCTTTCGTCTCTTGTTCAAACTTCCAAATTATATGTATTCATTGCTATATAATTGTCTCCATTCCCCCCTCGCTTTTCAAGCGAGAACTCGCCTTGTATGCTTAATGAATTGCCCAAACACAGGATTTGAAAAGATTTTTATGAGTTTTTCTCTTGATTACATTTGCAATCTGATAAAGAAAAGTGGATCCAGCTGCATATTTTGCTGTATTAATATTTTATCTAATTCCATCCAGATTTCTTTCTCTGTTAAGCTGCAAAAATATTTAATACGTATCTCTAAGAAAACAGTAATAACTAGAGTATAAGAAAAGTATGGGCAATGGATTCCTCTATAAAGGTACAAGCAAAAATCCAGCTGCATTCGAAGAAAGTCTTTAGATATTAATTTTGCGATTAAAAGTAAATCTTTAATTTCAGTCCGAAACGAAAACGCAAAGAGTAATCAAATATCGAACTTCAATGAAATGGAAGGATTATTCTTTCAGTAGTTGAAATAAGTAGAAATCAGCAACGTTACAATTTTATAAAGCTTTCAAAAGTAGTTTGCACAATCAAACCTGAATCAATAGCTGTTTTAAAATGAAGTATAAAGATTGTCTAAGTAAACGAACCGTTAGTTTCTTTCTAAGGAATAAATTTTGAGCTTGGTGAAAAAGATAAATGTTTTACTTCTTTACCTCAGCTGAAGTACCTCAGCTTATGCGGCATTTTATAACTTTAAATATTATATATTTTATATAATATTTAAAGTCAAAAGAGAGCATGTGCTATCGAGGTTTGACTATATTTAGTTTCTGATGATTCTTCTTCTTTTAATTGATTCTTTTTCTTTTAATTAATTTTTTAATTTATATTTTATTAAGTTTATGATATAACTTCATGTTAAGATTTCATTAAAGTGATACATTCTGCATGTATAACTCTCTCGTCTTACAATTATGCATTTTACCTCTAGTGCTGTAAGTGAAAAAGTCGTTGTATTTCAATCAGGTGGCACGGAGATGGATCAGAACCAGAATCTCGTGCAACAGCAGTTCCAGCTTCAGCAGCAACAGCTTATGATTCAACAGCAGCAGCAGGTTATTCATCAGCAGCAACAGCAATTGCAACAGCAGGTACACTTTCAGCAGCAAATACAGCAACAGCAGCAAATACAGAACCAGCAGCAAGTTATAATACAAGATATACAGCAGCAACAGACCCTGACAGCCTCTCTTGTGCAGCAGCAACCGGGTGTGATCGTAGGCGGAACTCCGATGCAACAGCAGCCCCAATCCCAGCGGAAGGTAACTCTCTACTATTGTATAAATTAGGATTCCAACTAACTATAATTTTACATCCGAAATCCTTAAAATGCAATCATTGTTTTCTGGTCTTCTAATTAGGGTTTTAGGTTTCGTTTTGTTCCTCGTTATGAGGCTATAATGTGGACAGGCATACAAGCAACGTTGGCTTACAAATATTTTATGTCTCTTGTGTTACATTGTTTCTTTGTACTATTTATTGATCATAACAAGAACATGTCAATGAAATTGAAACGATGCATTACTTTTATGGTACTGTAGCGATCTAGTGTTGCTGTAAGCTGGCGTGATGCTGCTCGATATATGGTTGCTTGTGTTGTCATTTATTACGACCTCTGAGACGTGCAGCAATACACGCAGTTGATTTGCCCTTGAAAATTATGATAACCCTGGGATTTGATCTTAGGCTTGTCGTGTGGCAGTTAAATATACCACTAACGCAAAAGAGCTCTTGTATGATTGATTCTGGTTTAAGAAATGTTCTGTTGCGAGGGTAGGATTGTCTATTGAGCACCGTCCTTTCCCAAGCATTTCTAATGCGATATGAGGAGATGGCATTAATCGTCGTGAACTGAGCCTATGTGGTCATTCTTGTGATCCCACTGTGCTGCTAATGGTTTATTGTTGCATTGATGGCCCGTGGCTGCGGTTCCGGTGTATGTATGAACGTGCTTTAGGTAGACCTGTTGCTGCATTGTGCAGAGTAGTTGAAAGAGCGCCTTGGCCTGTATGTGACATTGTTTGTCATTTGTCCTTAGTGAGCATCAAACTACGCACTTTCGCTCAATGAGCGGAAGTGCGTAGTTTTCCGGGTCGTCTTGTAGCGGTCTCGTAGTGTTGTACTCTAGATCACAACGGATCGCGATAGCCAATCAAACGCTCGCACTGCAAAGCGGCTAGAATACCAGAATCCAACGTCGGAGAGATCTTTTGCATTATCGGTATGATCTTCGACTGCCATGTAACAGACATAGGATCAAATCATCTACGATTATTGAAGATATTGATAAAGGGCATTACAGGTGACAGAATGAATTGTTTGGTTTATCCAAATTTTAATCAAAAACAAACCGAAATATAAAATTCTCTGATGATGAAATTTGATGGAATGCCTCATTCTGCAGGTTTTATAATCTTCTCGAGGAAATTATATCTTTTGTTCTCTAATAAACAGTTAATTAAACATTCGTCAGAATATACCTGCTATTAAGAGACATGCACCAAATATATGTTTATGAGTAACTTCGAGTATAATTGCTTGGCAAATAGTTTATAAATGGCTATTTTCACAGAAAAGAATACAGGTCATAGTTTAGGAGGTAGCTTATCTTCTTATCAACTGTTAATTACTAGGTCCACACGAATAATTTCATTTTCAGATTCCCCAAAAATAATATTTATTTTTATGTTATGGAATTATAAGTAGCCGAGTGCTTTATTTGGAGAACATTTCACTCTCGATAAAGCTAAGGTTATTTCTGAGTGCTTTATTTCGGTGCTAAATTACTTTTATAAAATTTTAGCCAATATCCATGGATATATGGGATATCATAAGCCGTTGCAAATCCAGCTCCGCTGTAGCAGGGAAACTCTGTGGCTTCTATCATATAACTGCAGGCATATAAAAACTTCTGCTTATTTTAACATATATTTCCAGGTTCACAGGCGTCTGCCACAGCCTACTATGGAACAGATGCAAGCGGCGGTCGCCATAGCAGCACAGACGCCCAGGAGCAAGTCCCAACCCCCCCGTACCCCCAGCATCGGAGCAACCCCCTCCTTCCAGAGACCAGTTTCGCCCATGATGGCTCCCGGTGGACAAAGGACTTCGCAATCGTCTACGCTCTACGATACGTCGACGAGCAACCTCCTCAGCGTTCAACAGCCAATGATGCTGGGCAGTGTCTCTCCTTCAGCAACCACTTCCATCAGCCCAACCTCTCGCAAGGTATGTCTATCCTTCAACAATTCGTTTTCAAGATATCATTGCTTTTAAAGCTCAGTTGCAATGACATGGACGTGTAAAGTGAAGTTACGAAAGCTTGTTTCTCACATAATTGATATAAATTACCTTAGGATAGCAAATTTTTCAAAAGAAAAGAAGGCAGAATTCGCAAGGAAGTCGCAGTGTATGGAAGGAAAATTCGCGAAACTTTTCACAGTGAAGGATTTACATTAACATTTCGGGGAAAGGGGAGATGCATGCAAAATAATAATATAGTCAACAAATAAAGTGAAGTTACATTAGAAATATTTTATTGAAATTTACATTAATAAACCAATTAAATTCTATAAACGTATTCAGCACCATTTTAAGAGCAAGAACAGCATTTAATTGGACGGAATTTTTATACTCTCTAACATATACATAATTTTTTCATTCATTGGCACTTTTTAAAAAAGAACCATTCGGTTTCAAAATTGCTTTTTGATATTGAAAAGCAGTGGAAAGTAATTTAACGCTAAGTGCAGCACATTGTACAAAAACGAAATCAATTTAAGTTTAAATTAAAAATTCTAATTCACTTGTTTTCTTTTTCACATAATCGATGTTTCTTCAATAATGACATTTCTCCGCTATTTATTCTAGTTAGTTTAAGCAACAACATAACACTGCTTTTTGTTTCTTTACTTTTCGAGTCCTTTACTAATACCCCTCTATTACAAGTCCTTCAGTACGTCCCCTGTTTCTTGATCCATTGCTTTCTGAATGCTGAGATGTCAGAGCTTCTTTTTTCCTGTCTTCCACCATAAAAATAAACACAGCAGTCTTCTTTAGGAATCCCCAAGGAGAAACAGAAAAATTTATAAAAGATTAAACCATATATATTGTTTGGTTCCCATGGTTACAGATCTTGTTTCTGGAGCAAGGCAAAAGTTTTCTCCGTCTTCCCCTCTCCCTCTACCACGTCTCTTGATTGCTATTTTTAGCCCTAAGGGTGTGTGTACTGGAGAAGGAAGTTTGCTATTGAATCTGGAATTGCCTTTCGGAATTATTTTGATTTCTTGCATTTAGCTTAACCCTAGATATATTTCGTTAACTCCGCAAGCAAAGATTTTTTTTTTCAATTCGAATTAGATGTGTCATCCTAATTATAATTAGGACTTATATTTTTTTTTTTATTTTCAAGCGTGAAATTCCTCGTTAATAATCCTGCTTTACGTGAATCAATTTAAGATAATTTTCCGCGGTGTTTTCATATTTTCTTTTCTGCGTATCCCCCTTAGTTTTTTAGCGCTAGTCCTGAAAATGTAAAAAAATATTATAATAATTTTCCCCTTCCTCTATTGTACATAGTTCTCCCCTTCTGAGGGCTACTTTACTACTAAATCATATTCGCCTTGTTATCTTTATTTTTCTTCGATATATTCAGTTTGTATTTGCATTTTTATATTAGGCCTGCAGCTATTTTATTTTCACTTGCATTTAATATTTGAAACATATTTTGTGAAGATTCTTCGTTAAGCTATATGGAGTGGCAGGTGTTCACTTTCCAAACATGTGATTTCACCTTACTTCTGTTGTTTACGTTCTATCTTATTGCAGCTTTGTCTACTGCTGATGTATTCGATCTTTCGAACTCCAGGTCCTCTATTCACCCACTTTTCTTTCGTTCTACCAATGTTCCTTTTGGAAACTGCGGTCAAGACTCACTCATGTGAGATGTCCCTGGGGCTTTACATGGTAACTTAACCAACGTATCTGGATAAATTACCATAAAGTATTGGTTGAAAATCCGTCAGATATTGCAATTTGATATTACTATGTATTCTTAGTGGGATGTAGGTTTCTTTTAAAAATATAATTTTGTGATAGTTACCGGTAGTTAATGAACGGCTACTTTTCATTCTTCATGTTTTTACTGTAACGCGCTCTTCGGAAATTAAACTACTCGTGTTACTTTTCTCTACCAAATTTCAGAAGATAAAATTAGTTAAAAAAAGGGAGATACACGAGAAAATATGGTAAATAAAGCAGTTTTAAAATAACGCTTTTAAGCAGCAGTATACTGATTCGTCTAGCAAATATGTTCAAGTCATCATATGAAGAAATTACTTTCGAATTCCCCAGCATAGTTGCCCAGTTAAAGAAATTATTACATAAATTCTGCACCACGGTAGGTAACACATAGCGTTTAGCTATATCTTTTATTACGTGTAGTAACATATAAGCTTCTTATAAAAATTACACTAAGCAACAAACTTTAACGAGTTTTTTCTTCTTTTAAACAGACTTACTGACCGTTACGAGAGAAGGTTTTGTTTTGACTCTGAACACCGTTACCAATAGTTTTTTTCCATGATTTTGAATAAGCTTACCAATTGTTTTGGGGTCCTTGTCGAGAGTTGATTTTGTCGAGAGTGATTTTTTCTAAGAAAGATATCATTATTTTATGCCTATAAATCAGCATAATTACTTTAGCATGGAAAATATTTTACTACTGATACTGTGGAGACTTAAAAGATTTTTCGAAGCAAGATATACAAAAAAATCCGCTTTGGTGTTGGTTCGAAGCATGGATCTTCAAGCTGTTAGCCGGACATGCTCATTGTTTATATCATGAGAGAACGCATGAGGGAATGCAATAACTCATTAAATTCTCCACTATTTAATGGACGAGTGAAATCTAATCGACGAAACTGAGGGGGATGATTATTTATTACCGTCAATATTGTATGTGCTCTTGAATGTATGTATAAACTATTGTGTGTGAACTATATGCAGAACTTCAATTGCGAAACTATTGTGCTATATGCGGAACCCTGATCATCATCTTACCCTATTTTACACCGAATATTGACTGTGGGTCCCAGAAATTAATATTCAGTAGCTCATATATCTAAAGGTATACTTAATATTCGTATTCGTACAAGTATGCTATGTTACCGTATAAGCAGCATCTTTAATGAGTTTGTAACAAGTTCAATGAGGACATTTGATACAGTAATAGGCACATTAAAAATAGCAAAAATTTATAGAGAGATATAACATTTCTTTTTTTTCTTGATGTAGTAACAGGCACATTAAAAATAGTAAACTGGTGTGCAAAACTTAAGCAACAATGTAAAAATTTAGCAGATAGCCATGAAGTTGCAGAAAAGGAGGTCTGGAGGTCAGAACAATGAACATGTAAATCAGTAGAAACGTCATGTGTATGTAAATATCAGGAACGAAACGTCAGAGGCGACGTGAGCGTACACAAAACGCGTGATGTCGGCGCGCGCAGCTCAACAATAGAATAAAAGGAAGGACGGAGACGCAATTCAACACATTCGCTGCAAGTGCCAGTGAGTCATTTCGTGAAATATGGCTAGAAGAAATCACCTGGACGACTTCACACGTGGAAGAATGATCGGAAAACTGGAGGAGGGGCGTACTGTCACCAGTGTAGCTGCAGAGTTCGGAATCAACAAAAGTGTCGTTTTGCGCGCTTGGAAAGCGTTCCAAACCACGGATACAGCTGTTAGAAAGGTTGGTGGTGGCTGCCGGAGGACGACAACTGCAGGGAATGATTGATATATCGTCCTGCAGGCGAAACGAAGACGACAGCAGTCAGCAAGCGCCATTGCTCACAACTCTGTACAGCAACGGGGCGACAAGTGTCGTGGTTTACTGTGGCCAGCCCCTTCACAAAGGGGATCTATTAGGCCACCGTCCTGAACGCTGCCTCGTGTTGAAATTTGGCCACCGACGCCACCGTTTACAGTGGTGCAGAGAGCACAAAAACTGGACAACTGATCAATGGAGTCGTGTCTCTTTACGGATGAGAGTCGGTTCAATACCAGAAGCGATTCTCAACGCGTTTTGATTTGGAGAGAGGTCGAGACCCGGTTTTATCCTAGTAACATCAAGGAAAGACACCGTAACGGTGGTCCTGGAGTTTTTGTCTGAGAAGGCATTATGCTGAACGGGTGAACTGAGCTCCACGTTTTCGACAGAGGGTCTGTAACCGGGGATCGCTATTGTGAGGAGGTACTCCTTCCCGATGTGCCATTGGCCCAGACTTAATTTTTATGGATGACAATACACGGCCACATCGGACTCTTGCTGTTGAGGAGCTACTGGAAAGGGAAGATATCACTCGAATGGATTAGCCAGCGTACTCCCCAGATTTAAATCCCATCGAACATGTTTGGGATGCTTTGGAGAGACGCATTGCAACTCGCTTACATCCTCCGGAGAAACCCAACAACTCAAACAGATGCTGATTGAGGAATGGGCACTCCTACCGCAAGAAATATTGCACGAGCTGGTTCTGAGTATTCGGAGACGGTGCGAAGCAACCATTGCATTAGGGGAGGGCATATCCCATATTAAAGAACATCTGCTTGTTGTTCTTCCTCTTGGATAGACAATCATGAGTCACGATACTATGCGTTCAATAAAGCTTGTTTTTTTTTTTTTTATTCCATACCGTATGCATTGTATTCCTTTTTCAGCTCCGATACTTTCGTCATCCTTTATGTACATAATACTCTCCTTCATTTCTGCATTTCATGTCTCTCAGTTGATTTCTCGTGGAGTTACGGTAAAAACCCTGCTGTTGCTTAAGTTTTGCACACCAGTGTAAAAATATATTGAGAGATATAAAATTTCTTTTTTTTTTCTTTGATGCAGAAACAGGCACATTAAAAATAGTAAAAATATATAGACAGATATATTTTTTTTCTTTTTTCTCTCTATTGATGAAAAGCTATGCAAATGTAGCAAGAATAATGGAAATGTTGATGTGAATGATATCGATGTGATTATATAATCTTTGTTTTGAAATGTGAATAATTGGCATCTGTAGGGATGATGGCACACTGAAAGAGGGCCCTTGTCGGCTAAATGTCCTGTCTGCTAAATGTCGTGTCGGCTAAATGTCCTGTCTGCTAAATGTCGTGTCGGCTAAATGTCCTGTCGGCTAAGTGTCCGTGTCGGTTAAGTGTCCTTGTCGGCTAAAT